TATATATATATATATGTATATATATATATATATATATATATGTATATATATATGTGTATATATATATATATATATGTATATGTATATATATATGTATATATATATATATATATATAATCAGCAGTGACAGTTCTTGATGTATTAACATGCAAGCAGTAGTAGCTGGTCAGGGCGGAGCTAGTTTGTAACTGATTTATATTTATAACAAATTGATCAAAGATGTCAAAGTTTCTCCAAGCGGAGGAGCTTACTCTCACTGTGTGTGGGTTGTAGACTGTCTGACAGAGCAACACATTTCTAGATGTCCCCTTGGACTGAGAAACTGATTGACATTTTTCTGACATTTTAAGGAAAAAGCTAATAATTGATTTTAAATTAAATTATTATTTTTGAATACTTTCTTTCCTTTTTTAATTCATGGGCTAAAGTCTCATTTACTGTCATTATGCAAGGACAAGGATGCACAATTAAAATTCAGTTGAAACACATGACAAAGAAAACAAAACCAGTAGTACATTCCTGTCGTGTATTTTTGTAAATTTTTCATCTAAGGAACGTAAACAGCATCAACAAAAACAATCCTCTGGTCAGACAATATGGCCGACATCTTCACATTAAAAACTCAACATGTGGAAAACATTGTCCATCAACTCTGACTGTTTGAGCACCAAGCATCAAGATGTAGACACAGAGTCCTCCTCCTCTGGTTCACCAGAGTCCTGATGTCCGCCCGTCAAGTGCAGCTTGATCCTGGCCCACGATGGATCCAGGTCTCTGTGAAGATGTGGGCTCCACAGTCACCGACCTCCCGCTGCTTTCATCCATCTTATTTTCCTGCTACCGGGCATCAGACAGCCAGGAGCATGCTGGGTAGTGGAGTAGCCTCAGGTCCTGGCTGGGTTAGCTTAGCTTCCATCACGGCTCTCCTCTCTCTCCTCTCTGGGGCAGTTTGGTGGCGTTTGGTCCAGCAGGTCTGGTCGGTTGGTTGGCCGTGGAGCGGTGATCGTCTCAAAGTCTGCTGCACTTAAACCCCACGTCTACTTTTCAGATGTAGATGAATGTGTTCTGTCATATGCCATTAGTGATAAACACAAATGAACAAAACAAACAAAGACAAAAATGTAGAGATATTCATGGGAGCTGTACATGTACATGCAGCAATCAGTGATCAGAGGCAGCTTGTCAGATAATTAAAGTAGCATAAAACTCCCTTACAAATGCACTTGTGTATTTGACCTGAATAAATGTACTTTGTTACTTTCATCCACTAGTTCATAGTCAACACTGTAACAGAAATGCCTGCATTAGCCCTGATCTCACTTCTGTGAACAAAAGTTTCGAATCCAGGAGAATAAATATCCCCACTGCGGGACTAACAAGGGATTGATTATTTGTATTATTATATATGACAATCAGATCATAAATATAACAGCAAACAACCTCCATGTAAATGTGGAGTAATGTCTACCTGAGCAGAGAATGATGTGTGTGTGTTGTAATCCGAGTTTTTCCTCTCTTTGTTGACATGGCCGCAAGCCTTTCGTTAAATTTCTTAAACTCAATTCCATTTTATTTGTATCGCCCAATATCAGAGAAATTAAATTTGCCTCATAGGGCTTTACAATCCGTACAGCATACAACGAGTCGTCTTCCAGTCAGAAGTTTGCCGGTTTAATCCCTGGCTCCTCCAGCCCATGTCGCTGTGTCCTTGGGCAAGGCACTTAACCCCAAATTGCTCGATGGGCAGGTGGCATCTTGCATGGTAGCCCATCAGTGTATGAATGGGTGTGAATGGCATTTACACGTTCTGTTCCTGGATCAGATAGGGAAACATTCCCCAAAGAAAACCTTCTTTAGTGCACGTTCATGCATGTGAGCGTGCACCGCTGGCTAGCTCTCACTGGCAAGCGTAGCGCCCACCCTCCAGGTTCCCTCTCAGGTAGCTGTTAGCTCTGTCAGCACCGTTAGCTACGAGCCGCCGGCTCAGCTGTCGCCATGTTGAGAGCCACTGAGAGGCACAGAATGGCATTGGTATTTCCTTATATGCATATACTGTCATAAGGAATGCAAAAACATTGTTTTTCATTGGGACACACTGTTTTATTTTTTCGTTTTATTTAGTAATTTAAATCTTCTATAGACACAAACATGTCTCTGGAGAGTGAAGGAGCCCTCCAGAAACACAAAAAAGATAACAATCATGTAACCCCACAGTATGTCAGATAGAGCTGCAACCAACCGTTACTTTCCTCAGTGATTAGTCTGTTGCTCATTTTTAATGATTAGCTGTTTACAATGTTAGAAAATAGCAAAACTTGAATCCTAATTTTCTAGAACCTAAAATGATACACGTAAATGATTAAACATGTAAATAAAATGTCAGACTCATATTGGAGAAGTGAGGACCTTGATAAACACCTAAAAATAGAGAAGAAATGCGTGTGTTGTGTGTTTTGATGACACAACAATAATAACTTTCGTTGAATCATATTCCGCTTCCACCCGTGTTTTACTGGAAGAATCCTGTTTCTACAGTTAATAGGAATCACCACGCTGCAGCCATGTGACAGATGATTGCTCAACCAAGCAAGCATGATATTGGTCAGGGACACTGTCCTCACCACAACCCCAGTGGAACAGGAGAGGGATTCATGGAAGAGCTGCAACAGTCAGACACTGAGAAGAGTTGTGGGTCATACATCAGCAGACTTGCTATCAAAGCCGTACTTTTCTTTCTGACCACTGTCAATCCCTCTTAGAAAGTATCTCAGGGAATTCTCACAACAGAATTTAAGCTCACCAGATTGTCTGGGAAAGATATGTATTTGGTCCAAAACTAGACAACACGCTTGTGTGTCTGTCTGTAGTGTTGAGGAATCTGACAAAAAAAGAAAAATTCAAAAGTCTATGGTTCAGAATTATTAAGCAAAATCAGATTGTAGATGGTAAGAACTTGTGTTGTTGAGTACAATCCCATTCTAGAGCTCATGTTCAGGGGTTATTAAAGTAAATCAGATCAAGAGCAGTGCTCCCCAACCTTTTTTAACTCATAGGACCCTAGCCCTATTTTTAGGCCTCTGCTCGAAAATTGCATAGCCATACTCAAGAGAGTCCCGAGCTCTAACTACAAGGTCTATTTTAATAATTTTGATGCTAGAATACTGGTAACACTTGTGAGATGTGTTGAATTGTGTAAATATTGTGTATATGTTACTGGTTAATAACTGATACACTTATGGCACAGCTCAAATTGAAAAATTTCTAGGTTCGCCTGAAAAAAAGCACTTGTATTGAACATTTTTTTTTTTTTAAATAATGCAGCTGCAAGCCTAAAACCACGGCACAGTCATAGAACAACACGTTTTACATGTCCCCACAACATATTTTACTTCGATTGAGTGAAGCAGGCCAGCATAAATGGTCATAAAAATCCAAATTTTGATTTTCGGAACCAGCTGTTGCATTGCTGTATACTAATTTTATATACTATATAACTAAATATTAACTATATATTCACTTTTCTTATCACTAGGAGTGTTCAATAATCCTAATAAATCAGTTTTACACCATTTTGAATAATTTTGAGCAGTTATGATGTGTCATATCTGTCATTCATAACAATAAATGGCTCATAATGTGTCTATGTGACTTTGGTAAGGCCGATTTACTCGTGTGAGACATTTTTAGATGCGGGTATAGTCCAACGGGAGCCATGCAGGGGTGTTTGATCGTATCCGGGTCTGTTTACTGACTAAAAATCGCAAAATGCTGGGCGAACCCCCTCTCTACATGGATTGCTCCACCCCACAGAATCGTCTGCCATTTTGTGATTCATTCCGCCAGCGCATTCATCTCACTCACAGACATGCAGCAGAACATGGCGGGCAGAGCTGTGCAAAAATCGGCTCGAATAAATCCGTTTTTCATCGCCAAAACCGTCAAGACGTAAGTTTTTTTTTTTACCCAATTTTTTTTCTCGTGACCTGCGGCTGATGTTGGCATGCATACCCATAACTTTTGAACGGTTTGAAAGAGAGTAATATGGACGCTGCTGTGCGTTTCCGGGTCGAATCGTGCCCCTCCTGCATGTGTTCATCCGCCATGTGTGATCCTGCTCCGTGATGAGAGAGCCATAGAGTGAGCATAGGTCGTCGATTTTTGGCCAAAATTGTGGCAAATCTTCTAGATATCTTCCAGATATGATATTAGTTCATGTATAATTGTGTTTGCAGTGTTTACAATGGCTGGTATGATGATGTTGCTCGGACTTTTCCCGTTAATTAGATATTTAATATGTCTGGAGCAATAATCATATTTCTTTATGAAAAATGCTTTCTACGACACGCTGAATGATACACACTCTAAAACAGCCCCCCATGGGGGGCTCTCGGGTCCTATGCCATGGCACCCCACATGCCCATCCACACAACGCCCATACTGTACACATGGCTCCCTTCATCTACAAATGTCCCCAGGGTCTGTTATAAGAATTTATTTTCACAAGCCAACAAAGCAAAGACCATTGAGTATATGAACTGACATATACAGGACACCCCCTCTAAACATAAAGATTTTAGTTTTTTCTAAATGACCACCACTCCAGTTTAAAATGTATTAAATATAACTTAATAAAAATAGAAATATATGCCATCAATATCTGTAAAATAAATAATTAAGGCAACTTTGCTTAAATTTAGTGTAGCAAGGATGACTACCCCCTAAAGTGAATCTAAAAAGTATGTAACAATCTAGTAGAAAGAATGTTTTACCTTGTTGAAAAAGTGCCTGACGACCCAGGGTGTGGAAAGAGGCTAGCATCTTCTGTTTCAAGATTTCGCAGTACATCTGCAAATTCGTGATGCAATCAATGAAGTGCAACACCTTCAGCACTCCTAGATCCCCACAAAACTTCACTGTGGGCACCGTGCACTCCTCACTGTACTCCTCCCTGTGCGACGCCATTCATTTTGGATGCTATCCGGTCCAAAAAGATTGACTTTGGATTGACATCGGACCAGAGAATGGATTCCCAAAGGTCTTCATCTCTCTCAGTATGGGCCTTGGCAAAGGCTAAACAAGCTTTCTGGTGCTCTGGCTTCAGCAGTCTTCGGCCTCCTGCAAGGAACCATGAATCTTTTGCCAGCTCTGAGAAACTTGCTTGCCGATTCTCCTGCACTTTTCTAAGCAGAACTCGCTCATCACGAGGTGAAAGCGTACGACGTCAACCTGGGGGTTTCCATCCTTTTTTTGAATTTCTGTATCACTTTTGCTTTTTGACTTAACAACAATGACTTGCTCATAACTCTCCGTCCCAAGTCTCCAGACAATTCTCTCCCATGTGGTTCCATTGTTGTAAGCATTAGTCTGAGAGCGATTCAGTGAGTTAAGTGCCACTTTAATTTTCAACCGAGAACACCTGTTTGAGTGGGAAGGTTCCAAAGACTTATCTGGTGATCAATTGCACTTAACAAGCACCAAAAACACTTTTTATGAGGTGCTATATTGTTGTTGACCAAAAGGTATACTTCATTGCTAAAGCATCACCACTGGGTGATCATGCATTTCTTAGTCTCTAGCAAGAAAAAAAGAATTGATATCAGCAATGTGCCAGCAAAGCAGCTATTTTCTGTCGGGTACATATTCTTCCAGGACAAACAGAGCGGAAGAATTGTAACAAAATCAGCAGGGCTCCAAGAAAAAGGTCTGCACTCTTTTCTCTCATCATACAAGATTACAAGGTTATTCTGTTGTCATTGTACAGCAGTGTTGCACTACGAAATGCAGATTGAAACTATATCATTTATGGAGGGCTGAGGATGAGTTAAGGAGTCACACAGCCAGAGGAAAGAAGCTGTTCTGAAGTCTGATGGTTCATCAGCTGATACTTCTGTATCTCTCTGCAGATAGCAGCACGGTGAACAGGTTGTGTCTCGGTGGGTTTAGTCGTTTAATATCCTTTGAGCTCTTCTCAGGCTCCTCTTCTCACCAATATCACTGATGCTCAGTAGACCAGTGATGTTCCTGGTGGTTTCTATCACCTGCTGTAGAGCCTCCTGTCCTGGAACATCACATGTTAGTTTGTCATGTCTCCAGTCAGGAAGCTTTCTATTGTTCCTTTGTAAAAGTTAAAAATAACTTGGCACTGGAATTTAGCCTTCTTAAGTTTCCTGAAGAAATACAGCTGTTTATGAGCTTTCTTCACCAGGATGGAGATGTGTGAGGACCTTGTTGGGTTGTTGAGCAGCAGGTTATTCTCTGAGCTCCACTCTGACGGTTGTTGATTTCCTCTCTATATGAAGTCTCATCATTGTAAATAGCTATCAATTTTACTAATAGGTTTAAATGAGCATTCATTCATATGTTTTTGTCAGAATGTAGTGAAGTATGTGTCCAGTCCAACTTTATATAGCTCTGCCCAAAACAGTGTCTGTTAATGTCTATGTATCACTTTTGTACACTGTTGCTATGACTCATCCACACATTGAATGACAATCGATAAGTTTTCATATCTGATGGCATCATCATCTACTTTCAACGTGTAATAGGAGCCTATTTCCTCCACTGTAGCCTCAGCCCCTGCGGAGCCAAAGAGGCATCTCAAACAAATCTTCAGGTTCCCAGCTTTCAGATGATGTACACCACTTCTATGTTTTATAAAGTGTTGACATGCTATCTCCCCCTAAAGATCCACTGCCCCCCCAAGACAAAAATGGGTCAATGCGGGTCTCTCAGAGTTCAATAAAAATTCAAACCATATTCAAAGTATCCTTGTTATGAAATATGGCTTTGCTGTCTCGATCTCCCAGGTTTAGTGGAATGTCTGGATGGCATCCTCAGCAGCCTGCTGGAGGACAACATTCAGGTGTGGGCCATGAAGAGCCAGAGCGAGCACCCGCAGGTGCACACTCTGTTGGATAAGATGGATGCTGCCTCCGACCAGCCTGTACCAGCGGTGTTACGTGCCACCACCTCCATCAAATCCCCCACCCTCTACATCTTCACCTCTGGAACAACTGGTGAGTGTGTGTTGTTTCTACAGCTCACCAGAGACCAGTGAGGAGGAGTGACATTTGATATCATAGTGCTCCACAAATATGCTGTATGTAACAAACTTTGTTGGAGTGCTGCTGAACAACAGATTATAGACCTACCCTCCGACCGTTTGAGCACAGAGCCACCCTTCAGCTATGTGGGACTTGACTGGTTCCGTCTTTGTGCCGTTACCACAATAATGGCTAAAGGCAAAACATGGGCTATACTCTCTTTATACTTTTATTTCAGGCGACAACCTCCGGTTCTGAAAAGTGATGCCAATGCAGTAGTGTCTTAAAAATCTAAAAATCACCAAACTTGAGGCTTTATGACGTCATATTGACTACGTCCACTTCTTATATATACGGTTATGGTTTATTTACATGTGAACACTGCCAATGTTGAACTAGCTCTGAGTAGCAATGGTGCTTCATTTTTATAGCTATTTCATAGCTTTCCTGCTCGGTTATGCCAATACTGTTTATGTTAGTGTTATTTAAGCCTGTGAAGTTATGTACATTATTTACAAGATATTTACATGTTATGTAGAGCTATTCACAGTCATTTAAATGAGGCCTTTGCATGCTATAACGCTGTAGCTGTCATTTACACCATTTTGTGTCTGAGGACATGTTATGTTAAAATAGCATTCAGTTATTGGGGCTATCCTTCTGTGACATTTCAGTTTATAAAAAACAAACTAAACTTATCATGACCCTTAGAAAAATTTTGGGTTTGGGTTGGATATTTGCGTCACGGTTTTTGATCGATGTCTCACTTATCTAATCATTAATGAAGTCTGAAACAATTGAATGCAGCATTGCATGACATTTTGTTGTGTTGTCATGCAGGTAGCACATGGCTATGTACTCCCTCCCCATGCTAACGCTGGATTCAGCAGGGCGGCAATGCAGTTGAAATGATTATTTTGTAACATCATGTAATGCAAAATTATGTCTTTTCCTTTCCACAAGGGCTCCCTAAGGCTGCAGTGATCACTCACCTCCAGAGCTTGAAGGCAGCAGCAGGGTTTTGGGCGTTTGGAGCTACTGAAGATGACGTGGTGTACATCCCTCTGCCGCTCTACCACAGCGCAGCTTCCTTGATCGGTATAGGAGGAACCATAGAGCTGGGTAGGCCTCAAAATATGTCTACACCACTAATTCTGTCAGATTCACTGTACAGTATTTTGTAAGTGTTTCTCTTATAGTAGCTTGTTACATGATGTGTTGGTCTTACAATAAGCGTGGCCAGGCGCATTGAGCAGCGAGAGTTATTGTGCCATTGACCAACAAAAAACTAGTCTTAAGTCAGTGATCAATATTTTCCAGCTATTTGATGGGCACATTATTCATATAGTAAGAAGAACCTGCATTAGCGGGTTCACAATGGAAAAGTTTGAGTGTCAAGCACTGAGTTTCCTGGCTTTTAAATTTAATGAGAGATGACACTTTGATTGGTTTGATGATGATTAAAATGAAATCAGCTGCAAAAAAGCTTAATATCCTTAAATTTGCAAAAATGTGGATGCATATTATGAAAATCAGGGTTTTATGAGCGTTTTTTCACAGCACCCAAGCAGAATGAACAGAAAAAAAAACTATGCTACTATGTTTTGGTTTCATCTACGGGCACGCTGCTGTCCTCCTCTGCTCTCTGTGTCGGTGTTTCACCGACAGCAAGGCTCAGCTCCTCACAGAATTGAAAGTTTAAGAGAAAACAAAGAATTTGGATCTAAATAATTAAAAAGAATCTAGAAAACAAAACTGACTTCATTCGGCTTACTTTTAACTTGCAGAAGCTGAGTTGGACAAGCCCTTGCATTGGCATCATTCACTTTAGACCAGGGGTATGCAATTAAAATTCCAAAAGGTCCAGATCGAGAAAATCTCCTCGGGCAAAGGTCCGGAACATTACAATAATATCTAACTTGCACTATTTAGTGCCATATATATATATTCGAGAAGTCTAGTAGTAGTAACGTGTCTGTGTAGTCAACAACTGTCAAATCAAATAAATAAAGTACATCAATTATATTTTAACAAATATTATTCTCAGTTTTCAAATTTAACTGGATGGATTATAAATAATACATAGAAATACATAAATAAATGTTCTTCTCATTTCAAGTACAATAATGGCTGGATTAAAGAATAACTGACATAACAGAAAGCTTTTCAAAAATGTGCATCTTAAAATAAAGTAATTCATTTTAGAAAAATTAATTTCACTGAATTGTCCTGCAGCTTTAAATTCAGTTCATTCAGGTGTGAAGTGATGTCAATAAAAACAGCCACAATATTATATTTTTCTCATCTTCTAAAAAGAGAAATCAATGAGCATGATCTTTATCTGTGGTTATTAAACCACTTGTTTCAGCTCTATTCTCTCTGTTAACATCATTGTTGGGCAATGAATTCATGTGTTAGGATTCTGATCATTTTGGGCTCTTAGGTTTATTTTCTGTGTCTTCATTTAGATGTGAGTGGGTACGTTTGTTCAAAGGAGTTGTGCGTTGTCTCGTAGTGTCGCTTCATTTACCGCTTTAAATAATCGTCTTGTCTCTGAGCATGTGAGACACACTGGTTATAAACTGTCCGTGTGAAGAATAAACCTATAAGAGTCTTTTTCATTCTTGGTTAAAGACTCTGGTCTCTCTGACCACTTTTCTCTCTTTGGAGAACGTCATGTGAACTTCTCTGACTCGCGTATTATTCTCCTGCTCTTCCTTCTCTTTCCTCGTCTCTCCCCCGGTGTGTGTACATCTCACTCGAGTCAGGAAACTTGTCAGAATACCCATATTTGATTGGCTGAGCTGCATCACGTGATGTGATTTACAACGCATTGGTCGGTGCGTTTCCTGCACCGCTGAACAAGTGCCGTACAGGCTGAAAAAGCTGCGCCGGTTAAAATAGAAGCGCCCTGTCAAAATAAAATCGATTTTAGGTCCTGGGTCCGGATACATCGGCGTCTGGGTCCGGATCCGGACCGCGGTCCGCCAATTGGCGACCCCTGCTTTAGACCATGCGCTACAGTTCGTTTAAACAGGGCCTATAACTACAACCAAATTTGGGCACATGATCTGCTGGTGGAAGTTTTCACCTCAAAATCTGCGTTAATCGGCCAACCAGTAAATTAAAGCAGCAGAAGGACTTCTTTTTCAGATCTTACCATGTACACAGATTTTACATGGTAACATGTACAAGCTGTCCAGGGAAAAAAAGGTTGAATGCTCAGTTTAATAGCTGTTGACTTGCAAGATCACTCTAGTTTTTGATGAGATTTTGAGAGGTGATCTGTGAGTTGTAGCCGACAGCCTACATTGTCAGAAGGAGAGGAGACTATTCAATTCTAGCCTATTTTGTAGCTTAATGTAGCTGGTAATGTAATAAGCCTTCACAGAAGCTGGCAAATGAATTTATTTCTGTTATGTGGCAATAAACATGTAGCCTGCCGATAACTGATATATTCTGAGCTTCTCTACACATTTTGGCCTTATTTCTATTAAGTTTCAGTTTTGCTGCCTATGTGCTGTATCTCAATATTCACAGTCGTGGTATTATTGTGGCAGCTAAATCTTCGAGGCCGTTGGTGCTGTGCAGCCATCAGGGTTTGAAGGTTTTTGCCTTAAAACTATACAATGTCACATCATTTTGGACCCTTATTACTTAAGATGACACCCAAAAAGCTTAAAGACAAAACTTTCTATAATTCATTATTTTATTATTTAAACATGTCACTTGACTTCGTCTCACCAGGACTCGAACATTGAATAGATAAATTACAGCACCCTCGGTATATATTGAATCGGCCATTGAATCGGCCTACTGGTGTCAAACGATTAGTCTGAAAGATTGTGATGATGATATGAAAACAAAACAAATAGCCTTTTCCTAGAGGCGCTTTTTGAAAGTAGTGCGACCATGTGCATTATTGAGCTGACACTTTGCTGAGTCACAGTGAAAATAAAGGATCATATTAGTAAAGTAGGGCTATTTTTATGAATACAAAATATTGGGTTCCTTATGGCTGTATACATGCATATACAGCCATATATAGCCATATATCTTGCTACACAACAGTTTCCACAGACAAATAATTATCTACTTTCAAATCTAAAAGGGCCCAGTACCAGGAAATCCGGCACGGTACCAGAGAGCATTAGGCCTAACAACATTTTGGTGGTCTTCGTTACATAATAGGGACAGGAGACAGACCACAGTGTAACTGCCAAACAACAGTGAACCCTTTGAGGACCCACTGTTCCATAACTAGTGGCTTAATTAGAGGATTTAGAGCAAGAAGTGGACACTGAAGACTATTATGGAGAATACTTTTGTTTTTGGTCATGGTTGCTGTGTTTGCCCTCTTCATAGAATGGTCCACTGTGTGAACCTTGCTTTTGGAAAAGCAGCAAATTCTTATCGGCTATCCTATTGATGAATCTTTGGCTTCTGCATTGGATCCAACTGCTACAAAAGTTGAAAGCTCAACGTCCTTCACTGGTAGAGATAAACATCCCGACAGGTTGTGCTAACAAACCTTGGTGAGGCCGGTGTCCTGACAGATTTATGTTGAAAAGTATGTCGACACATTGGGCTGGCATTGTCAGACCAGACGTACACCTGCCTGGACTCACAAGCCAGCCTCTGAAACGCTTCGCTAAGCTAGAGTCTGAAGACAGTATCCCTGGTTTCATTGCTAAAACTGTGTGGAGGTGATTATAGAGTTTTTAAAAAACTTGATAGAAGAACCAATACAGTCTTGTGGTGGACCCAGTGACATGCAGAAGTCGTGTGCTTGTAAACACTGTCATACAGCTGCTCTGCTAACGAGCTAACAAACACACAGACGGTTCACGCAATGTAGCGGCTGTTCAAAGTTTAAAAAATAGAATTAATCTCGGAGCTCTCCCACCAGTAATTAGCTCCTGAATGTACACCCTGTATGTCCCCGCTCATGTCGATAAACGATTGGCCTTTCTGAATCTAGGACATGTAAGGGGTATAGGTTTGTTTGCGGCCGTTCTTCCCACCGTTCTAGCAACAACTTTGCATTTAGTAATCCCCAGATATTCGCGATTTGGTCTCGATTGTCTGGTATTGCAAGACTAACACCTGCCAAGACGATACTAAACCCCAACCATTCACCCTCTCAGTTTATGTATATATATCATGGAATAACCCAAGGCTGTTCTTTAAGAGCTGGCTGTTTGGTACCAATGGCTAAGACTTTTAAAACTGGGACTTGTCTAAAGAGTTATGTAGTATACAAAATAGAAGTTGTAGAACACGCTAGCTAACAAATTAGCAATTTCTGCCTCCAAATACAAGACTCTGCTAAAAAGCTAGCTGGCTAGCCTTCACTTTTACTTTGTTAATAGAATACAAATCACAGTCAACAATGTTATATTGTAATGTTGGAGAGGAAGACTGCCCTCTTAAGACTGAGATGAGCTGTAACATCAAGCTGTCTGTGAACCACAAGGTAACATTGGCAGACACTGTGCGTGTTATTTGTAATAGATTAGCTTAGTAGGCCAAAGAGAATGTCACACTGGATACTTTGTACCTAAGTTTCAAAATACATAAGCCAAGCATTATTTGTTCTGTTTAAGGTATCCTCCCCACTGCAAATAGGCTAGACAGTGGCTGAATTGCACCACAAGTTGTAAAGCCACTACAATCTTTATCAAGAACCATGACATTTTATACACCCTCAAAAAGTCACCTTAGACTCATGTCTGTCATGGCTGCTGTGACATTTCCAATTACCTGTCCTATGAAACTGCCAGCACATTTTCTGATGTCAACAACAAAAGTGTTCCTTGAGTAAAGAACTGAACAAACGTCTGTATTTATGGTCCGTTTATGATGAAATGTCATGCCCTCATCTCCTGATCCGATAATAATCCCAGTCTGTATCTCAAACGTGATCACAAAATATGACAGAAATATTATACTCTTATCTACAACAATAAGTAAAGACATTCTTTAAATGACATCCTTTGCTTGTCTCCTATATTATATGTTGTGATTTTGCAAATAAATCAGCAAATTAGACATGCATGGATCATGTCTACAATGTCGAAAAGTAAATATAGAGTGTGTCAACATTTTGCAGTGTCATTAAACTTTGATCTTTCCATTATAGATAAGTCCCAAGTCCCAGTTTCCATCAGACAGACGCAGATCATATCCAGGTCTCTCTAATCGCATATGACGACAATCAGTTAACCAGCTTTTTCCAGTAAACTGATTTCTTAACTGTATTGGCAATGTCCACCCCTCTGCCAGAGAGCCCCACCAGATTGTAGCCAATCCCCCTCTCAGCAGAGCGAATGATACGCTGACGGTTATGGAGGAGGAGAGGATGAACTCAATGATGGCAGTGTAGAAGTGCACCATTATTGTCTTTGGCAGGTTGAACTTCTTCAGTTGCCTCAGGAAGTACATCCTCTGCTGAGCCTTCTTTGCTATGGAGCTGATGTTAAGCTCCCACTTGAGGTCCTGGGTTATGGTGGAGCCCAGGAAGCCAAAGATAGGGACAGGTGGGAATGCATTCTTGCGGAAATCCACAACAATCTCCACTGTCTTTAGAGCGTTGAGTTCTAAGTTGTTAAGTCCGCACCAGGTCACCAGATGGTCAGTCTCCCACCTGTAGGCGGACTCATCCCCACCAGAGATGAGTCCAATGAGGGTGGTGTCATCCGAGAACTTCAGGAGCTAGAGGGTCACCAGTTCCAGTCCCCGTATGAATCGAGCATGGAGTGTGGCCACTTTGCCTCACTGCAGAGTTGCCCCTTGAGCAAGCCACCGAACCCCACCGTACAATCCTGATGGATTGGTTAAATGCAGAGATAAATTTAATTTCTGCTGGGTACAATTGTGTGTGACATTATAACTTGATTTACATTTTCATTACATTTGCATACAGGTAACCAGGTTTCTAATCCCTTTTTACAAGTTTGCAAGTGCAGGACAAGAGAGCTCATTACACATACATCCACGTATTTAAAATGATTCCATCAAAAGTCTAAGTAAAACTGAATCAAGTTGTTTTTTAACTGCTCATTTTTTATTTATTTTTTGATAAATTCACACGTCTGCCCTCCTGTCCTCTCTGTGCTGTCAGTCTGCTCCAACACAGACACCAAAAAACATACAAAATCAAATCAGGCAGCATCTTCGGTTTAAATAAGGTCAAGGGTAAGGAACAAATGTGGTTACTGACCTGCAGCGTGTAAATGAAAACAGCTGTATACACTTTTATCTTTTAAACATGTCAGAAGACGCTTGCATGTCTTTCACCTTTAGCATTGTGTTGTGAGTGCATCTTCGCAAAAGAACAAGAGATTTAAACAGTACATGGACCTGCATAGTAACACAACCCTCTACAGCACCTCTTGTTATGCTCTGTCAGCAAAATAATTCAAACATATTTTACATAGTACATTGTATATGGGAATTAAATACCAATCTATAAATATGATTCCAGCTTATTATTTGCATTGATAAACACTTGGAGTAGATAAAGCTGGTATTTAAAATGGGAGAATATGAGAATGTAATGTCATTGGTATCTGTTCTACCACAGGTGCGACCTGCGTCTTAAAGAAGAAGTTCTCAGCCTCCCAGTTCTGGAATGACTGTAGAAAACACAACGTTACTGTTTTCCAGTATATCGGTGAACTCTGCAGATACCTCTGCAACCGGCCCAAGGTAATGTGTTTGGCATTCAACTTGAAAGTGTTAATAACCTCTTGCAAATATAATATCACGCCTGTCTCTGCTCAGGCGCACTGACGGCACCAAAACGCTTAATTTCTGGTTAATTTTGGATAACATTTCTGTTAACCGCCTAAATGAAAATATACTCTGTGGAAAACTTTCTGGTTTGCTATGAAACAAGTACCTTTAGTAGTGTGCCCCCATTCTGGCAAAGTATCTTGATAGTAATTCCCTCCTTTCTGTGTGATTGTTGAATATGAATTTGAAGTCAAGTTTAGAAAGTGCTTTGTCTTCTTTCTGATGGACTGACACCTAAACCATTGATCTTCAAACTACCTCAAAGTTTTCGTCTTTCCTAAACGTTTTATTCTATACTTACTGCTGTTATTATCTCAACATGACTTTCTGCCATGTTATTCACATTTGACTCCGGGCTAGAAAACAGAATGACGGAGCAAGTGAGTTCGAGTAGAGCAACGGGGAAAAAAGCGTCAATGCTTTACACTCCTTTACAGTCACTGCCACTTGTGAATCCGATAAGTAAAATTGTGCACAACTGTAGCAGGAAGACAAGCGGGGCCTTTGTTTTGTGCTGTTTGCGTCCTCCCATTGGTAGACGCTCAGACATGTATGCACACACAGTGTGAGGGCCGAGCTCATTGCCACTTGAGGCCGGACTCAAAGCCCCCTTTGTCCACTCTCTCTCTCTGTTATTCGGCTGCGTGGGTGGAAGGCTGGCAATGACTGTCCTCGCCGCTGATTGGCAAATTAAAAATGTGGACACGCAAGTGTCAGTACCATTTACCGCCGGCATGCTGTCTTATGCACAGTGACCATTGAGCAGTCATGGCAAATACCATGCATGCATTTTCTATGTTTTTTTTCCAATTTTGTTTTTCATGATCAGGTGTGCAGAAGTGTTTATGGTATACTTTTTGCATTTCACATGCCAATGTAGTCGTTATTCTTTAATTCTAATGAAATCAAATTATTCAATAAGGAGTGCAATGAAACCATTCTCAGTGCATATTTCCCAGTTTGTACATCCTGGATTCCTTTCCTTGCCTCTTCTCCTCACGTCTTAGTCCCCGCCTACGGGAGATGCGAGGGTGGATCCTCGGAGCCGCCAATTTAAAGATACGACAATTAAATATCACGTGATGCACAGCTGCAACAGATGTCATTTGTTTTGTTATAATTTATTAATTAATGATCTCTATCAGATGAGCATAGCAGTGTTCATTTCAACTTATATATTTACTATTAATTTTATTCATGAAAAGAATGTTCGGATGCCATACATTTACACACACGCACACATATATAAGGGCTATAATAAATATACAATAAAGCTTTTGTTTCATTGTGTGAAGCCCTACAAATGTTTGTGTGAAAAGTACCATACATAGAAAGTACAGTATATTGTGTATATAATTGAGTGATATTTGTATTATATATATCTTGTCTATCTATATATGACAACATGAAATACAGCAAATTAGTGCTGAAGGCAAGAGAATGTTGCCACTGATATAATAATTTGACGACAGCAGCTGTTTGCGCTTGTAAACATCATGTCAGGATTATAGCAGTTGAATTGGATGCCTACATTCAATATAATAACAGAAGTGATGTCCTTAAGGTCAGGCCTCTTTTGTTTGTTTACGGATGCCCAAAAGACTTCCGTAAAGGCTACACAGTTGTATCTTCGCTTATAGCTCCTTCAGAAGCCTCCTCGCTCCTCCAGATGAATATTAGGAACTGGGACGTACTTCAAGATGCAGCACTGAGATTGATTTCCGGATCACAAGCCGGAGTAGCGAGAAGACGAGGCAGAAAATTTGGAAATTAGAAAAGGCCCTATGTCTGGCCGCGCTGTTAATAGATACACCAGTTCTTCTTCTGTTATGTGACAGAGTAGTTGCTCAAGGTGTGTTGGCCGCCTCTGGTGGTCAATACACGCAGGGCTGTATTACCAACCAAGAAAAGTCAGGCAACTGCCCCTCTGCTGCAGACCCTCAGGGGCCCCAAAGGCCCCATGCTGATTGTCATTCAGTTAGTGTGTTGTCAATTAATTGCAAATGTGTTCCATGTTCCTCTATGAGTTTGTGTGTTCCCATCATTGCTTTGCTTGTTACACACACACTAGATTATGTTTCTCGAGGGCTGCAGTTTAACAGCTCGTTGCCTAATGTCATGGAGAAATGATAAGTTGTCAACCATCAGTTCTACTTTGCTAACGTCATCTCTTCCCTCTCCCCCCATCAGACAGCGGCGGATCAGGTTCACAAGGTGCGGATGGGAGTCGGGAACGGGCTGCGGCAGGACGTGTGGCGGGAGTTCCAGAGTCGCTTTGGAAACATTAAAATGTGCGAGGTGTACGGCTCCACTGAGGGAAACCTGTGTTTCATGAACCACATTGGCAAGATCGGAACCGTGGGTCGCTCCCACTTCTTCTACAGGGTGAGTACTCGGTGACCTTAAAGGAATGCTTCGCCCACAAAATGACCGTTCACTCTCATTTACTCACCCCCTTGAATTCTTTAAGGAAAACAGAGTTTTTCTCGCATGCCGTTTTTTATGAGGTCTGCAAGATGTGAATATTCCACAGAAGTAGTAATTGTGAGCACAACACCAAAACCAAAAGCCCCACAATGTCACACCCACTGGTCTTAGAAGAGAAGATGCGATAAAGGTACATTTTTGAATACACTTTGATGGCACGTTAACTACTTCTAATTACTCTACCACAGGCAGTGCTACTCCACCAAAAAGATATGGAGATGGTGTTAGTAGTCTATAGTTAGTTAGTAGCAGGGTTTAAGGAACAGCAACCCATTCAGCTCCCTCTATTCCACCATATCGGCTGAATAAAACATTACGAGGTATTCATTAAAACGAGGAAACACAGATTGGCAAAGAAATGGCTTTAAGTATCAGAGTTGCTGGTACTTGACTTATTATGTAATCTATCGATGAATCTGGCGGTAATTCGTTGTTTTTGATGAATCATTGATTTTCATTGAGAAGACCACTGTCATATAAAACTTCCAAGAGAAAAGACAGACCCACCTTTAATAGAGAGAACAGACTGATGTTTCAACACCACTGTCTTCATCAGAGTCAAAGAGACAAAGACAAAAAGGTGTGCAATTCTTATTGGTCATTGTTGGAACAGATCAGGTCTATTGGACAGTGGATCCAAAAGTAACAGTTGCCATTTTCAACGTCCGAGTGCCAAACCTCAAATCAGGAGCACAAGATTACAGCTATCTCTTAAACTTACAGTGATAAAATACAAAAAGTGTAAGTACTGTATCCATCACGTTAAACAAATGAAAGAAAACAAATTCAGTTTTTCATTGAACTGTGTAAGAGTATGAATCCAACGTGCCTCTCTACAGAGCAGCCAGTTGGTAATGTCTCCACCACAAAATATTGTATTTGTTTTGCAGTTTTGTGTTCAGATATGCAAATCCTTAAAGCTCTCTTAGTTTGTCCAACACAAACCAGACCACAGGGACATTTCAGCATGACAACATGAGACTTTTATTGAGTATTCTTTGACCAGAACGTGAATGTGTAAAGCTACATTAATCCATCACTAAAGAGAGAGAAAACAGACTGAAGATATTTCTGTCAGTTACTTTTGTTTTTGAATTGTAACAGACACAAATCTACCGAAATTCAATGAGGTCTTACAGACGTTCTGGGGTTTTTGGAATATTTCATGCCATTAGTCAGTCAGTCAAAAATAATTTATTTCTTCACCAGAGAAACTTGAGCAATATCACATCAAATACTTATATATATTGGTTACATTTATTTTTTCAAGATCTGTGACTGTAAACATTTACTATACCGTGGAAACAGTAAATATTTAACACTAGCTCTAAGCAGCTTATAAATACATAACTAAAACTACTAATGCCAAGATTTTATATCAACAAAAATAACATCTTTTTGAATTTGAAATGAACATTTACATTTTTGAAGGTTTACACTGACTCTTGGGGACGTTAGTGGAAAAGAAAAAAAGATATATCAAGTAAAATAAAAGATTATATATATACATATAAACACAAAAGCACTCACTTACCAAAGCTGCTGTTCAGTTAAAGACAAAGTCCATCCTCCTCTCTTTGTTAATGAAGAGTTCAATGACACGGTTGTACAGAACATCGGTGCGGGTCAGTTCCAGCCAGAGGTCCTCCTGCGAACGTGTTCGTTGAGTTGTAGATCCACTCGGGTCTCTCCAAAAGTTTTCAAAAGCACCGTAGCTTGTAAATGTCCTGCCGTGCTATGGTGTCGTGTTGCTGCCTTGGTTAGCCACCTCAGGTTAGCGTAGCATAGCTCCAAACAGCTCCAAACACCAAGACGCTAAGTAGCAAAGAAAACGCATTCTTAGCCAGAACATGTGCAGCGCTTCTCCGACGCTGTCAGCCAGAAATACCGTTTGTACAAATCCTTTTCCTGGCTGGGTCAGGGCTGCTAGCTGTGGGGTTGGCCGACTCTTTCTTGCGATGTCCAGTTTTTCTGGAAATGTCCTTGAGAAATCCTTTTCTCCTCCTTCAGCCATTGAAGCCATTTTTTAAAGTTGCTTTGTTTGTTTAACAAAGGTAGGTAAAAAATAAAAGAATCTACACCAAGCAAAACGCTAAAAATATTGGATAAAAGCTCTCCTTAAAACAAGCTGTGCTGGAAGCAGAGCAACAGAGGAAGACAGGAGCTGTGCAATGAGAGAATAAGATAATAGGAAAAAACATTATTACACATGTAGTGTATTTGTGAAAAATGATTAAATTATAAAATAGCTATAATTTTGTGATTCTGTTTCGGCCAGCAGAGAAGGCTTTGCTGGACCTGACGGCCCACCACTGTCAGATGATAATCCAACAGCACTCATAAACTTGCTGTTATACTGCGCAATTCCCTATTTTGAAAGCTGTCAGTTTGGGTAGCTTGCCAAATTTTGCCACGTTGTCCTGCTGCTTTTGTGTTTGGTACTCCTGTCAGGAAGATGATCAAGATCCTGAAAGCTGTTCTTGACCCGGTACCATCCCCTTCTTAGTGTCTATTCTGACACGCTACCAGGGGCTCTTGACATTGCGTGCGTGGGGCTGTGCCCACATAGCTGCATCCAGCAACCCAGGATATTTGATGTCATGCATTCACCCAGAATTACGTTAATTTCTATAAATTACTCAGTACCACTAAACCCACACCTCTCCCGCTGCCTGCAGGCGGGACTTTGCCCCCAAATGACTCATGGCCTCCATTTGTTATGTAAATCTGGATGGCAACCCAGGTTTCTAGTATGCTTTTGTTTGCTTACAACCCACGTTCACTCTCCAAGCATCGTTGCTAATCGGGCACATCTTGTGGTGGAGAGATTGTGCAAAGCTTGAATTTGTGAGGGGTGGGGGAGGGTTAACCAGCTTAGAGGAGATCTGTCAGGTCCTGTATTGTTATCCTCCATCAGAGGGATCTCTCAGTTGTCAACCAACTGATTATACTCTACATGGCGTGGACACCGTGTCATGAACACCTGTGGTGGTCCACTTTAATTTTCGTTAAAGTGGACCACTTTAAATTTTCTTCATTTTAGTGACGGAAATTACAATATTTTTTTATTTTTATTATATTTTTATGTTTTATTACAGATGATGGTCAGTATGAAGATCGTATTATTTCACACAGAAATGTGTCCAGCCTTCATGGGCTTACAAAATAACACAATATAGACTAGATCCAGAATACAACAAGCGCACACATCTGTGTGACACTACGGAGTACAAAAATTGAAAAAATAGCAACTCGCATATCTAACTGTAAGTTTTCAGACCATGTCTCATGTCTCCATGAATACCTCTTAAACTCCACCCCTCTTTACCACAGACCCATTTATGTCCTCTTAAGGGCGGACGCTGGATCTTTAGGATGAGATAGCAGGTCAACAGTAGAACAGTAGTTCTAGTCTTAAATCACAAATTAAAACATATTAATTCATTAAAATAGATTGTGAACATGTATAAGGTCTTAGAACTTTATGATGGAAGTGTGTGATGGAGATTTAGTGCGAAACTTTTTTTTTTTTAAAGTACCACGGGACAATTGATAAAAAGGAAGAAAGATCTCTCCAAAATACCACATTAAGACACCAAGATCTAGAGGAACACCACAGAAGGATCCATGCTGGGATTTAGTGTTAAAAACTTTTGACATTTGTAGATTTCTGCAAGAATTGCATTTTGATGCAATTGATAGGGGAGCACTTCTGTTCTGGAAACTACTCAGAAACCACCTTATTGTCAATAAACATAGAGAAGCCATACATCCTCTGAAGTTCCTCGGTCTCTAGTTTGTGGGTGCACCGTTTCATGAGACTGTGATTATCCGAGAGGTCACGACAGGTCATTTTACACAGTGACGTCAAGTTTCAAAAAATGGTCTCACTACAATGAAATGGCTACTTTGGAGACATCATCACACATGAACATATTATATATACAGTATATTAGTCTCAGATACCCAGTCACACCCAGTTTATGCAATTCAAAGACTGTATACAGAAATATTTAAATACCATTTTTAGATAAGGAACACACATTTATCCTGCCTGCAAAGAAAATGTTTTTTTGTCTTAAACTGCGTGTTCCCATTTACATATCTAGAGGTGAGAGGTCAAGGGACCCCTGTGAATATGGCCATCAGCTCATGTATTTTCATTATAAATGGCATACAACACTACATACTATATGAAATATAGCTGGACGTCTGTTGAGACAGTGAGGGAGGCGGAGCAGTGAAGTGGCTTTTCCTGAGGCTGAGGTAGGTATTAGCCTCGCTAATGCTCATCTGTGGAGCGGTTCACTAGTTATAGTGATTACATGTGTTTAGCTCTAATCTCTGACCTCGGCTATTCTTAGATCTGGCTCACTGCTTTTCCTGCTGGCTCACCAACCGTTATAAAATATAGTTATAAAAGCGAAGTTATAAAACATCATGATGTCAGGACACACGTGGAGCGTAAAGCAGTGACTTAAAGGAGAAATTAAGAACGCGTTTGGAGTCTCTCACATGCAAACTCAGTGTTTCTGAAAACTTGCTAGATTTTAAAGGAATATCTTTCAATAAGGGAAAAGTTCATTCTCGAGTAGTTTGGTATAAAAAATTAAAAGAATACTTCTACCGCTATTTTTGGGCCTTTCAGTTGCATCTCACGTTCTAATCTCGGTGAGAACTGAGCAAACGCCATTCACTGATAAAGACCCTGAGATGAAACAAGGTCCCTGAACTCAAGTATTCAAGTATTCTACATGGATATGGATGTAATCTTTGTTTTCCTCTTTGTCATCAATAATCAACCATCACACCGTGTCAGGAGGGCTAACGTTAGCCAGCTCACTCCATAATGTTTCCTAATACTACCAGGAGGTGGTGCCACATTCTATATGCTTCTATAAATCTGGACCATTATAAAGGTTCCTGGATGAGATTTAGAAAATAGTTTAATTTTGAGCCCATTAGAACAAAATAGTTTTACAGTTGCTCAGACATTTTTCACAGCAGACATGTTGACATGTTACAGCAGGAAAGACACCACTGTAAATAATAACTTTAATAATAATAATACATTTTATTTGTATAGCGCTTTAAAAGGTACTCAAAGACACTTTACATGGTAAAAACAGAAACAATAGAATTAATTACAGTAAAAACAACATAGATGTAAGAAATAACACGAGAAAAAATAGAAAAACATACATAACTGACTTTACAGGTTAAAAGCAGATTTAAATAGATGAGTTTTAAGTGCAGTTTTTAAAGTGGCGAGTGACGGAGAATGTCTAAGGTGCTGGGGGAGACAGTTCCAGAGGGAGGGGGCAGTGATGGAGAAGGCCCTGTCTCCCCAGGTCCGATACGTGGACAGAGTAGGGGGGGGTAAGGAGGTTGGGAGCCAGTGGAGGTTTTGAAGGACTGGGGTGATGTGGTCTCTGGTGCGGGAGCTGAGTTCTGGATGTGTTTTAGTTTGTTGATGATTTTGGTGGGTGAGCCGTACAGGATGCTGTTGCAGTAGTCCAGTCGAGAGGTGATGAAGGCGTGGATGAGTGTTTCAGCGGCTGTGGAGGAGAGGGAGGGGTGTAGACGGGCGATGTTTTTGAGATGAGAGAAGGCGTTTTTTATGATGTGATTGACGTGGCATTCAAAGGAGAGGGTGTGTTGAGGGAGTGGTCATCAGAGGAGAGGAGGAGGTCATTGGTGACTTTGATTAGGGCAGTTTCTGTGCTGTGATGAGATCTGAATCCAGATTGAATAATTAATAATTAAGGCTTATTTTCCAGTTAGTGTCAGAATGCCTGCTGTCAAAAGTATCTGATTTTAGTATTTTAGTATCTGAAGTTTTTTGTGGGCGATTCCATTCATCACTTTAGATTTGAATGCCTCTGTGTAATTTAATGATATTTTCTCTTTATTTTGTGTGCAGCTCTTGTTCAAGTACGATATGGTGAAGTACGACATGGTGAAAGATGAACCAGTGAAAGATCCGTATGGCTTCTGTCAGCGAGTGGAAAAGGGTAAGAGAGATCTGCACAAAAGATCTGTCCTTTAAGATTGTTCATTCTTTGAAAGTTGAATCCACCTGACCTTCTGTCCTGTTCCCAGGTGAGACGGGGCTTTTACTGTCCAAGGTGAGCACCTTGAGCCCGTTCTTTGGCTACGCTGGAAGCAAGCAGCTGACAGAAAAGAAGCTGATGAGAAACGTGTTTGTGAAGGGAGACGCCTACTTCAACACAGGCGACCTCATGGCTGAAGACCAGGAGGGCTTCATCTGCTTCAGAGATAGAGTGGGAGACACCTTCAGGTACAGTGGGACGGGATGTATGGAGATGTCTTTTCTGCAGGTACCAACCCAACACCGAGGCATTCGTAGTCTTTCATTGGTCTTTAAAGGGTAACTTATGTATTTTTTAACTTGGAATCTATGATCCCATGTTTTTTTGTCTAACTGATAATGGGGACAACAACCATTTTTTAAATTGGTCCAGAATTGAGCATGGAGTGAGAAGAGCACTGCAGCCACTAAACAGGGTGCAATGAAATCATACTGGACAATTCCTCACCGTCAGTTTACATCCACTTAAAGTGCTTGTTTTTGCCACTGACACGCTCGGATTGTTATTATAAGTGTCTTATTATAAGAGGCACAACATGGGGAAATAGGATCCAGGTTTAGAAATACCAAAGCTACCCTTTAAAGCTGAGTATAAATGCCCTGTACATGCTCGTAGCTTACGCAGCTCTGTCCACATGTTGAAGTGTCTTTGAAGGAAACACTCAACTCCTGGAGTGAGAGGTTGTTTATGTCTCTTATTTTGTTATTTTCCTACTGTTTGACGTTGGTTAAAATGGGACCCCACAATTTATTTTATTTTATTTAGTCGAATTAAATTCAAAATTGCATTCTAATTTCTGTATATGTGGGCAATATGAATATGAGTGCAGTATTGATACTATTTCAGTTTGATGACATTAAGGTGTGCTGCATGGCTTTTACCACCAGGTGATGTCTTTGAGTGAGAAGCAGTTGTTACAAGCGGTAGGGTGTCGAAGAAGAATCCTTGTTGTTGTTTTTTTGTTTGAGTAGTAAGCTGAGTTCAGACAGACTTCAAACAGACTGCATCTCCGGTTCTGAAGAGTGAAGTCAAAGCTTCATTTGTTAAAGCTGCATTCTCTCTATTGACCATCAGGGGGGTCCGCAGAGGTACTGCAGGGGGGCCGCGAAATTTTTGGTTGATTAGACAATTTAAAAAAAATATATAATAATAATATATATTTTTTTCTTCTCTAAACATGAATGTGTCCATTATTTTAATAGTTCAGTATTGTATGAAAGATAAAGGGTATCTTTATGCATGGCAGTGTCACTAATAGGCCATCACTCATTTTAGTTTCCACATTTATGTTTAAAATGAAAACATCAATTTGAATAGCTTGTATGATTATCATGCAATTGACAGACAATGTTGATTGGCATTGGTATCAGCTGACAAGGTATGTTTATAAATGGCAGTGGCACGGCCACCCTACTCACTGTACCTTGCACATGTTTAAAATAAAAACATGGATATATGAACCTGTGTATTATTTGAATAGCTTAGTATTGAATGCACAATAAAGAGGTACACATGGTACTAGGCCCATTTAATATAAAACACAATTTTATACAATATATATAGTCGGGGGTCCCTGCTCCATCTCTCTATCAGTTTGGGGGTCCTTGGCCTGAAAAACATTGAAGACCCCTGAAATAGACCATAAAGCAGAGTATGCTTTAGGGCGGGGCTACCTTGTGATTGACAGGTCGCTACCAGAGGGCGTCTCTAAATCACACAATTTTACTTTCAGTACATACTGCTGCTGCTCTCACAAAGCATGTGCTGTTGCATGCAGTTTGCATTCAACTGGAACATACTACTTCCTCATAACATGGCACTTCCTGCTCATACAGTGGGTACGGAAATTTTTCACTCTGTTTCATTGTAGCCATTTGCTAAAATCAAAAAAGTTCATTTTATTTCTCATTAATGTACACTCAGCACCCCATCTTGACAGAAAAAAACAAATGTAGAAATTTTTGCAAATTTATTAAAAAAGAAAAACTGAAATATCACATGGTCATAAGTATTCAGACCCTTTGCTCAGTATTGAGTAGAAGCACCCTTTTGAGCTAGTACAGCCATGAGTCTTCTTGGGAATGATGCAACAAGTTTTTCACACCTGGATTTTGGGATCCTCTGCCATTCTTCCTTGCAGATCCTCTCCAGTTCCGTCAGGTTGGATGGTGAACGTTGGTGGACAGCCATTTTCAGGTCTCTCCAGAGATGCTCATTTGGGTTTAGGTCAGGGCTCTGGCTGGGCCAGTCAAGAATGGTCACAGAGTTGTTCCGAAGCCACTCCTTTGTTATTTTAGCTGTGTGCTTAGGGTCATTGTCTTGTTGGAAGGTGAACCTTCGGCCCAGTCAGAGGTCCAGAGCACTCTGGAAGAGGTTTTCTTCCAGGATATCTCTGTACTTCTCATGTCTACTCATCTTTCCTTCAATTGCAACCAGTCGTCCTGTCCCTGCAGCTGAAAAACACCCCCATAGCATGATGCTGCCACCACCATGTTTCACTGTTGGGATTGTATTGGGCAGGTGATGAGCAGTGCCTGGTTTTCTCCACACATACCGCTTAGAATTAATGCCAAAAAGTTCAATCTTGGTCTCATCAGACCAGAGAATCTTATTTCTCATAGTCTGGGAGTCCTCCTTGTGTTTTTTGGCAAACTCTATGCGGGCTTTCGTATGTCTTGTACCGAGGAGAGGCTTCCGTCGGGCCACTCTGCCATAAAGCCCCGACTGGTGGAGGGCTGCAGTGATAGTTGACTTTGTGGAACTTTCTCCCATCTCCCTACTGCATCTCTGGAGCTCAGCCACAGTGATCTTTGGGTTCTTCTTTACCTCTCTCACCAAGGCTCTTCTTCCACGATTGCTCAGTTTGGCTGGACGACCAGGTCTAGGAAGAGTTCTGGTCGTCCCAAACTTCTTCCATTTCAGGATTATGGAGGCCACTGTGCTCTTAGGAACCTTGAGTGCTGCAGAAATTCTTTTGTAACCTTGGCCAGATCTGTGCCTTGCCACAATTCTGTCTCTGAGCTCCTTGGGCAGTTCCTTCGACCTCATGATTCTCATTTGCTCTGACATGCACTGTGAGCTGTAAGGTCTTATATAGACAGGTGTGTGCCTTTCCTAATCAAGTCCAATCAGTTTAATTAAACACAGCTGGACTCCAATGAAGGAGTAGAACCATCTCAAGGAGGATCAGAAGAAATGGACAGCATGTGAGTTAAATATGAGTGTCACAGCAAAGGGTCTGAATACTTATGACCATGTGATATTTCAGTTTCTCTTTTTTAATAAATTTGCAAAAATTTCTACATTTCTGTTTTTTTCTGTCAAGATGGGGTGCTGAGTGTACATTAATGAGAAATAAAATGAACTTTTTTGATTTTAGCAAATGGCTGCAATGAAACAAAGAGTGAAAAATTTAAAGGGGTCTGAATACTTTCCGTACCCACTGTATATCTGCTGCGCAAAGGATTGTGGGTCAGGATAGCCAGAAAAGCATGCTGGCTTGCAAACTGCAAAATGCGACCGTTGCCGTAGAACATGTTGGTATTTTTGGCTTACTGCATTTGACACAGTATGTATTGGGACATACTAAACCTTTTTCTGGCACACTAAGTATTATGGGTATTGAAACATACAGGTAGTTTCCCAGTTTGCCAATAAGGCGTGCTGGCAGACTTCAGAGAGAGAACACATGCTGGTTTGTCTTTGTTGAATACAGAAATAAAACCACGCTGCAGCGTCCAGCTGTGTTTCTGGATCTTAAAAACAATATATTTTACTTTCAAATTTTCAGTTTCATATGCAGGGTCTATTTTTTAACCGTCCTGTTTCCCTGATTTCAGGTGGAAGGGTGAGAATGTAGCAACGACGGAGGTAACGGAGATGCTTGGGCTGGTGGATTTCATCCAGGAAGTCAATGTGTATGGAGTGGAAGTGCAAGGTATGTTATAGACGCCTTTGAAAACTTCCAGTACAGATGTTTTCAGAATAGTGCCACATTTACTATTAAATGTAGTACTGCAGTAATTTGCAGCTAAGTGAGCAGTGCTGTTTCTAGTACTGGTCCTGAGAATAATGACCAACACAGAGCTGGAGAGCGATGACATTGAACTGTGTTGTCCACACAGGGCACGAGGGTAGAGCGGGTATGGCCGCCGTGATTGTGAGACCGGGCCTCGCGTTCGACGGCAAGAAGCTGTTTGAGCATGTGATGAGCGACGTCCCGGCTTACGCTCGCCCGCTGTTCATCAGGCTCCAGGTAACGAGCACGCCGACACACTGGATCTGCACCTGGATTATGTTGATGAGTGTTCTTCATAAAAGGGACTGTAGGGGAGTTTACATTCATTCTGGTTTATTAGAGGCTTATTAGACACCTGATCTCAGGCAGGTACAGCTTCAGAGGGGTCAAAGGGTTCAGATGAACCCAGTAGTGGAGTAAAAAGTACATTATTTCCCTCTGAATTGTAGTCACGGAGTAGAAGTATAAAGTAGCACAGTACTTTTTCACGGAAATTCTCTTGAAACACTAGAAGCAAACATAAATAGAAGCTTGGACACTGATGGACAAAGTCGGCAGCCACCGTCTCCTCGTACAGAAGGAAAGCTGACCTCTATGGCTTTTCAGAAAACAAAAAAACTTGTTTCCATTGGCTAGCACAGCTCAATCTACAGATCTTTCAACCCTCTGACTATTTCACAAAAGCACATTCCTTCCATGATGCGTATGTCTTAAACCAACCAACTCAGATATTTGATGAATTCTACCCTTACAACTTGAGTAAATGTACTTTGTAAAGTGTTAAGTCCTACCCGGGTTAAACTGACTATATGAATGCAGTCCGTTCACACTGTGCACTGGCAGCAGCATGTCATGTGCTTGGTCAGTGTGCGTGTTACGCCCTCTAGTGTCCATTAGGCGCCAGTACCCTGAAAATAATTGTGAATAAGACCGAATGAATGCAATGAACACTGTGAGGTGGGACATTGTTATTGAGCTCACGGTTGTTTGTCACATCCATCTTTGAGGACAACAAACGTCACTGTTTTTTACAATGACTTTAAATTGATAGAAAAATTGTCCTCACATTCACAATATTCTATATCAGTGTATTCATTAATTGGTGATTGAACCAGACAGTACAAACAAGAGCGAGAGCAATCAAGGTTCAAGTTAGTGAACCTATGTGGACTTTATAACTGTTTATATTACATCACATGACTTCCTCCTTTGCTCCCATCATAATTATTACAGCCACTAAAGTTTGCCGGCTTTTTTTGTATGCGTATCAGGTATCAACTGACCCATATCTATTAGGCTAATATCTGCTGATGAAGCCCATTCAATCAGCTGGGACTCGTTCATGTGTTACCGAGGAATCCTAACTGTAACTGTAGATGTGATTCTTCTATCAGCACTCGTCCTGTCATGTCTGAATCTACACACACATGAAATTTCACATCTGCATTTAACGTTAGGAGCAGCTGCTGGAAAGAGCCCGGGGAGCAACTTGGGGTTCAGTGTCTCATTTAAGGACACGTTGACATTCAGACAGGAGGAGCCAGGGATCAAACTGTGGTTGAAGGAGCACCCGCTCCAGCCCCTGCACCACAGCCACACCTTTTTAAAAAAAGGAGCAGAAACCCCACCTATTTTTTAATGGTTTATTCTCGGCAGTCGATATATATACACATTAATACATGGTCAGGGAAATTTAAAATGTCATCATACAGTTTGCATAACTTTTCAATTATATTTCGGTGTTCACGTTGTTCCCCATCCTCATTGTCATTACCATAATGTGCCATCAACAGTGCTGCTGCTGTTTGGCAGTTCTTTTCAATTTAAGACCGGGTCTATGCCATCCTTAATTAGGATTAGTTAGTTAGGACGATTCAATAATAGCATAACTCCCAAGAGAAGATGGGATTGTTTCCTAAATGCAATTAGGAAACATGTTTCTGTAAATCCCTAATGACGTTTCTGTATCGAGCCCCCTGAACCATCGGTATGAAAATTGTTGCCGATTAATGTTTTGTTGATCAACTAATCGTGCGCATGGCAGTAAAATAAGTCAGCAGTGATACATCACTAAGTGTATCACTGTGGATCCCAACTAAAGTTCCAAACATTGGACAGTTCATGCTCTATAGAGAACTTATTGAAATGACACTGATTGTTGTGTTTTGTCCTCAGGAGGTCATGGAGATGACGAGCACCTTCAAGCAGCAGAAGTTCCAGCTGGTGCAGAGCGGCTTCAACCCCTCTACGATCTCTGACCTCCTCTATGTGTTGGACTACCAGCAGGAGAGCTACATTCCTTTGACGGACAGCATCTACCGGAGCATCCTCGTCGGAGAACGCAAGCTGTAGAATTCTTAGTACGGTCGTGAAGCCCAGCGAGGGATGAAGGCAGCGCTGCCAGCTGCAGCACGTTGTGTCCCACAGACACCAGTGAGCCCACAATCATGTTCAGTGAAGTACTGAGGTCTGAAGGGAAAGCCTTCGTCTAGTTAGTGGATGACAGAGGACCAGGAACAATATGAACCTGAACGCATCACTGTGAAACACCAACTCACACCTTCAACTGAAACGGTGTGTTGGTTATTGAAGCCCTTCATTTGTCCAGTCATTTGATGAAAGCACTGCAAAAATAAGCTCTTAATTAATGAAGTCAGTACATTTGAATGGGGACAAGAATTTGCCCTTCATTTACATAGAATAGAAATATTTGACAGATTTGTTAATGATATGTTTGAGTTATTAAGGTTTATATTATGGTTGGGGTGTTGGTTTACACTATGGGTCTTTATTAATGATTATTGAATTCATAATTGTTAGAAGGATTATTCTTCAGTATTCAAGTGTTTAATTGTTTTACTCTGATATGGGCTAAATTTATGGATAGATTAATAATAATAACAATAATAATTATACATGAATGGACTGTAATATATACAGTTGTTTTTAATGGTCTTTCTGCATGGATTAAGAGGGTACATTGTCATTTCATAATTCCCATAAAATCCATTTAAAGTGCCTTAATTGCATCAGTACTAAAGGATACATTGATGGTCCAACATTTTGAAAAGGAAAATTCATAAATGTGTTTTTTTTAACTTACAAACAAATAAATGGTTCACAGAAGTTTTTGCTACTTTGCAAATATATATTTTTAACATCTGTCGGATTGTTTAAAATGTCTTTGTGAATCTTTCCAACAAAATCAACATTTTTATCCAGAGATATTTTTTTCACTAATTTTACTTCTTTAGCAAATTCCGATGTTCCGTTGACCGATCACAGCAAGAATGTGTTTATTTATGAAACAGAAGTAGTTGAATATTGTCTTGACTGAGAGAGATTTTCAATATGAAGAGCCCAAAAGTGGCCAGATATTCAGCCATATCAAATGTTTCTTTTAATTCTGTCAAAGTTCTGATTCCACAATTTATTTATACATTTTAATTTCTTTCTTGTCTTTATGTTGTTTTTTTTATATGTGCTGCTAAATATATTTACAGACATTCAGTCTTGGGAAACCTCTCAGGGGAGGGCTGGGATCTGAACCATCAACCACAATAAGCATCAAAGCATATTTACGTGATCGATATCAACAGCTAATTCATGAAAATTACATTTTGTTAAAGCTTAATATGCAGCATTTTCCTAAAAAACAACATAGAGACTGAGAATAAAGAATCACTCTAAATCATCATTTAAGACCCTCTTGCAGTCTGTATTTACTCTTTTCTTCTTGTTTTGCTGTGTTTGGCTCCTGGGAATCAGCAAAGAGCCTTCGGGCCCTTTAGGTCTGTAACCCCCCCAGCCAATAAGCAGGGTGTGCAGCCCGTAGTCATTCCCAGGTCAGATACCACTGTTTGTCACGCCTCTCTGCGTCTGATCCTGAGGCACATGGCACCCTTTAGCATCTGATACAAAGCAACCAAGGTACTTAAGAAGAGCTGCACAGTGAGTGCTCTGATTTGTTTTTCTTATATAAATTTCTTTTTCAATTCATTTTCAGGGCTGATTTGAAATAATAAATGGCGTGTAGATCCATTTTCAACACATGAAATGCCAATTTTTGTAACGGCAATATTGATGTGTTTCATCACATTACAGTCAGTTTACAGCTCAAAAGCACATTTCAGTGTTGCAGTACCTCTTTTTTGGGGGCATAGTAGCTAAAAGCAGCATCCCCAAAGGTTTGGTGGTGACCTTGGGAACAGTTCAAGAGGCAGCTGTGCAGAAACCTGGGTACATGGAGGATCATAAAACAATATTGAGTCTGTGAAATAAAAGGCCAGGCCATTAAGTGCCTTAACAAAAGGGAATTTAAAGAGAAGCACTTCAAACTTCTAAAAGATACGGGTATCCAGAACAGGAGTTATATCATCTCTCATTTGAGTTTTGGTTAAATTCCTGGCAGTAGCAACCTGACTGGTCCTTAACCGTGATCCTTTGTACAGCTGTTCAACAGACACCTCAGTGGGGACCAAAGCTGTGGACCGACCCACATCCGTAGACACATGGCTAAAAATATAACAATACATGACATGATAACATATTGTGTTATGTTAACAACCATATTAATTATACTGCTTAGTACATGCAAGAAATTGATAGACTAGCCTCTGGTTATAGTAAATCATCCAAATGTATTTACCGAATCAATATGTACTGTGAAGGGAAGCTTGGTCTCAGCTGAATGTCCCCATGAGGAGCTATGTCACATAAATATAAAGCGTATGAAAAGAAGAGGTTTTTTGGGGGGAGGATGGGCTGCATTGATTTACAGCAGTGAATACATCAGTATGCTTCAAACCAAGTGCCTGTCGGATCTGAAAGCGCCTGAAAAGCCTTTGGTGGTCACAATTAGTTTTAACGTTCCAAAGTAGAAGAATGACAATCAAGGTCTTAGTACAGATGAACTTGGAGATAGACTTTCTTTAACCTACGCATTCATGAGCGGATAAAGCTGTCTCGCGTATCCTGCTGCCATTTGGAGCATTGGCTATGTACGTAAGAAGCATACTGAGGCCTTGAACAGGAGGAGGGCACTGTTCACGAGAACCGCAGGGGGTTATGGGAGTAAAACAGCAGAGGGAGAGTCACATCAAACCTGTCCGTCCTGTGTCATTTACATGTGGGTAGAGCGTTTAACCTGCGGACATCAGGGAGAAGAGGTGGAGGTCAGGACCTGCTGGACTGTACAGTATGTTATCTGAGAGAGATACTGTATCTACACACGTGATTGTTCGTCCATTCCATAACGCATACATGTGGCATACAGCGGCAATACTTTCAGCACCTGACATCTACTTCAGCCATCTGAACAAACATCTCTTCAGATTTGGGTTCCTGTGGTCTATGACAATCCAACCAGGGGCTTTGAGTGGGAACAAGTCTTTCACAACGCTACATCCAGAGGTGACTGTTTTTAAGTTAACTGTAATCAGAGCTACAGGTGAACATCAACCCACGTGATTTATAGTTTCAACAAATGAAACCTTCAGAAACATCATTATTTACAGTGAAGAGCTGCAGGAATAAAACACAGAAATGAATTCTTGCACTTCAATGTTTTTTTTAATGGGTTTTTGGTTAGATGCCTGAAATGAGGTACATTCAACATAAACTCCAAGACATTTACATGTTTTATTCTATGACATAAAATAAGTCAATAATAGCTATTTACTTCTGCCGATTACATTCATGCTTCAAAGGTCATAAAAATTGTGTTCATTTGAAAACGATTCCGAAACAAAACATGAAGGTGTCATAAACATTTGTTTGCCACAGAGCTTATTTTCTGTAAATAATCAAAATGCGATGGTAAAATCCCGTTGGCCTTTTGACACGAGAACCAAGGCGAGGCTAACTTCAAGGTTGGCCAAAACAAAAAGGTCATGAGCAAAACTTATTTTAAGTTGACCCTGGCTGAACCCTGACCACCTAAAAATCCGGCCTTAATGACACCAGACTTGAAGCTCAATAATTAAAGAACCTATGTTGGATTTGAGATGTCTGACTTTTGTGCCTCCAATGGAGTGAACGTACCCATGAGTTCATTACATTCAAAGACTTTATACAGTCTGTATTCATTCATCCGTGGATTCAAGACGCAGCAAAGACATAACTAAGAGAGCCCAAACACCACAGTGCGTTATTCGACCTGTGGGAAACAAGTAGTGAGACATGAGAAGGTTTAAAAGCTGCTGTCATTTGCTGTTGTAAAGGTGCCAAATACTGTGGCTACTGTGGCTCAGAGGAAGAGCGGGGCATCTTCTAATGGGGATATTGTGGGTTCAATCACCGGCTCCTAAGTATCCTTAGTGTCCTTAGGCCAGATGCTGAACCCCTAATTGCCCCCGAAGACTGTGGCTGGAAGACTAGAAGGTGCTATCTACTGACGTTTGCTCGCCTATTATTTCTGTTTCACATCCATTTGAAGCCAAAGAACGAGTTTTTAACCGAAACTTCCTCTAATGGCCTCTTTCCTAATGTCTGAGGTCTCCATGTCTGTTAGGTATTGTACCTTAATTATGAACTTGTTTGAGCTCAATTCTGAAATAGTGTAAGAAATACTCAGATATTTGACTTTAACAAAAGGAGCATTAGCACGATGTAAACATGCTCCATTTCAAGTAAAAGGTCTGCTTTTAAAATGTTACCTGAGTGGTGTCATCGGCTAAATTCAAATTTAATTAAAAAACTATGCAGAAGACTGGCCGCTGCCAGCTTATGACACGTTTATATCAGTGGAGGATGTAGAGTACACTTAGGCACCTCGGGGTCGGGCTCCTCCAAAAGGGTCACCAGATAAATCTGACGGGTCGTGACGTGATTAATAGAGGATTAATAAGCTCAGATACACAAATCTGTTTTACATTTTTTTGACTTCAGAATCAGTGAAATATTGGATCGTTTGAACATTTAAAATTAAACTTTGCGAGACATTTAGAGGGAAAACATCTCAACTCATACACTTCGTTGTGTTGAGATGTATGAGTTGAGACGAGGCACTGATTTTGTGAAAGACAACATGCCAAAAAGTTGTGAGTTACACAATAAGCTTATTATTTGTGTCTTCATGTCAAATCTTAATAAGAAACATAACCAGATAAATGTAGTGGAGTAGAAAGTGCAATATTTGTCTCTGAGATGTTCTGGAGTAGAAGTATAAAGTAGCAGAAAATGAAAATTCTTGCATATAAAAACCTCCAAATGTGTAGTTAAGTCACTGTTCTTGAGTAACAGTATCTGTGTATGAGTGAGCAGCATGTTTATTGTAGCAAGTTGAGTTGGGGCTTATTCATTCATTCATTGTATAACAATTTTAACAATATTTCATATGCTCATTATAGGTAACTACAGCTGCCAGATAAATGTAGTGGTAAAGTGGTGCATAAAATGAAAATAATACATAATTCAACCTAATTAAAGTACTCAAGCAACTGCTATTCCCACCAGTGGTAATTGTAGCTTTTCTTATCATGTGTTTTAATGTAAAATGCTTATAATTTCATCCATAAACACTTAAAAGTTATTCTGATACCAGTCTGTACTCACAATTTCAGTAACGTTGTCATATCGATTTTAAACAGCAGATGGCACCAAAATGTTTACCACTAGTGGAAGTACTCTGATCATTTACTGAAGTAAAAGTACTAATACCACAATGTAAAAATACACCGTTACAATTAGAGGTCTTTCATAAAGTATTTGTAGCATTATGTACTGAAAGTATCAAAAGTGAAAGTACTGACTGATATACAGTATATACAGCCTTTGTTTGCATCAGTGTGAGAGCAGCTTTTTGAGCAGTGTGAAATATTATATAAGCCCCTTTGGGCTTAGAAGAGTTATTTAAATGGCCATCAGAGAAGTTCAGAGGAAAAAGTCCATCAACTCAGATGGAGATTTAGTTGTTGTTGTATTCATGGTTGGAAACATGCGCCTTGTGGGAGAATAAACCACTTATAAAGATGTTATCATTATTATGAGTCTTTGGATTATAAAGATATGGCACAAAAATAGCATTCATTCATATACAAAACTATGATGACTGCAGCATTAGAGGGAAGAATACATATTCCAAAGCAATTATTTGACGATGTACTTGTTACTTGTTATATTATATGTGATTTTAAGGAAAAACAAACAGATACACAGAAAACAAATGGTGCTTTAGAAGCAGGAGTCCTGGTAGTGCACGAGTGTGGGAACAGAGTGGATGTGATGAATGAAACAGAGTTCACAAACAGCCTGAGGGTAAAGTGGCTGACTTTAAAAGCTTCAACTGAGTCAGTCGGACTGTCTGAGTGACATCAGAATGGTCCAGAGCGGCATGTATAGAGCTGCTGGTCCAGAGCGGCATGTATAGAGCGGCATGTATAGAGCCGCTGGTCCAGAGCGGCATGTACAGAGCTGCTGGTATAGAGCGGCACGTACAGAGCCGCTGGTCCAGAGCGGCACGTATAGAGCTGCTGACAGATGTGTGAGGTGCAGTCTCACAATGTCCTGCTGCGGCTCCTCACGCTGAACGTTAGCTAACTTCCACTGGAATGAAATATACCTTAAGGAGCCTCTCTTGACATTTTAACATCCATAGAGCACCATCAATATTGACATCCATAATGTTTACTGTGACTCAAAGTTCCGCCACTGATCCCAGCGCTCCATGCTCCAACTGGAAGGATAAATGCAGGATGTGCTGCCGTGTGTTTAAGCTGACAACAAGCAGCAGTGTGTACGGGGCATCTAGAGGAAACTTTCCACTCCACCCGTCGTCACGGTGACACTGACCCTTTGTGTGCCTTTGTCAATAATGTTCGGTTTGTCAATGACTTGCAAACCAGCTGAAAAGCTTCTGCTGCAGCGTTGTGACAGAGGTCCCACTCGGAAGAGAAGCTCGGTTTGAACACTGTGTGCTGAGCAGTGAAGTTCTCTGTCATCCTGCTTTGGTTCACAACTGATGTGTGTTGAATGTTGAAAGTTAAAGGGTCACTTCATCCAAATTACGGGTGCACCACAGACTGAAGCTTCTCTCCTCACCACAGAAATAGAAATCCTCTCTGACATACTGCACTTTCGCCAACAATTGTGTACAGTTGTAGGTCTCAGATCATGTCACTGCTATACTGTGTTCTTGATTTTAATAAGCCTGAATTCTGTTTTTATGGTTTGCGTCTAGGGTCTGGGTTAGGACCAGGATCTAACACCTAGATCATGCTGAAAACCCTGACCAAGGGGGTGACCAATGATGGTGATCTCAGCGTATGTGAAGACTAACATATATATATATTTTCATTCCTTTAAAACTTGATGACCCCAGAGAATCAAGTCTTGCTACATTAAAACGCTTTGATTGCTTCACCTGTAAATGTTCTATATCAATCCCATCAGAACAATTTTATTGTCTATGAAGTCTTATCACATAATTCTGCATAATGCGTTTTTGCATCTTGTCAGAACCAACTAGTATGTGTAGAAATATTTTCACCTTCATCCTGTTTGTGATGGCAACCCACTTGTTTTGCATTTGGCAGTGTATCTGCTCAAAGAGAGAGGTGTGACTCACTGCATTAATCAGCAGGAACACCTGTTCATGACACACTGGAAACAGGATTATTAGAGGTATATGAGAATTTGTTCAAATTAAATGAAAGTAGAATAAGAATTAGGGTGATTACAAATGCATATTCCTATCCACAAAAATGGCACCTGCCTTGACAATTTCACAAAGAATTACAACCCAACTTGTGTTTGTCAAGAATTCCACATAATATTTTGTTTAGCTTTGGTTGAAAATGTATCTCATAGCATTTGCTTTTTCACCAGCACCTAAACACAACATGCATTTGTTGATCAGAGGATTTTAAAAAAGTATCAAAATGTATATATCATTTTTATTTCTCTTCCAGTAAAATACTACACATAGTTTTGTATAGCCGTTCAAAGTCTTACCCACAGTTTGGGAACGGCCTCTCCACAGTTCAACAGTCACCTTGCAGTTGTGTTCAGATGTTGATAGGTAGAGAGAAGTCGTCCTCAGTGAAAGTCACAGTACCCTGTTAACTGAAAGGCCACAGATATGGTCAAAACAAACGAAACACTGATGATACATAAACTCCACCACACCACCATGCAACGTAGCACTCTGCCGGGAAGTTATAATAACATCTGTTGTTCATCTAACTGCTGAGCTGAAATTGATATTGTAATTTCAAAATATGCAATCATTTTTTGTTGGAGGAAAAGTGATACCTGAAGTTCACTGCTCAATATTTCATCACAGACAACTGTACCCTCTGTACCCACTGTAAGTATTTGACAGTGACTTTTTTTTTTTTTACCACAGAGAGATCCAAAATGACTTTAAAGTGATGCAAAACTACCCCAGAGAGATCCAAAATGACTACAAAATAATCAAAACGACCACGAGTAGATCCAAACCGACAACAAATAGACCCTAAACGACTAAGAATACCCCAAATAACTACAAAGAGATGCAAAGCAACCACAAACAGACCGAAAATGACTAAGAAGGGATGCAAACTAACCACAAAGAGCCACTTGACGACAACAAAGAAACACTAAATGACTACAAAGAGACACTAAATGACTACGAAGAGACACTAGGCGACAACAAAGAGACACTAAACGACAAC